GAAATCACATATTCTAGGTGAAGTCACAATATACTTACAATAATGTATGAAGTAACGATCACATATTCTAGGTGAAGTCACAATATACTTACGATAATGTATGAAGTAACTGACGAAAGGAAAATATATTGAAATTTTCATACCTATTTTATACTAATTTTGATGATATTTCACTTTAAAAAAAGATATTTTTGATATTTTGTTGCAGGTATGATGAATTATGGTCATTGGAGCAAAAAGATGCAAAAATGAGCGAATTTAGAGCGAAAAGGACCAAAATATGAAGATTTTAACTAGGGCGCCGACAGCTAGCCCAACAGCGCCGACGGCGAGATTTTCCCGAGACTCCAGCCAAATATTTTAGAAGGCCCATCGAAGGCGCCCTTGAGGTCGTCGACGACGAGATCGGTGGTTAATTCAAAAGGTGCATTGAATGTGGATAATTTTTGGAGGGAGGCTTAGACAACTCTTGGGAAAACTCTTCTACAACTTTAAAAGATGATTTTGGCCGAAAATAGAGGAGGCTCTGGAGGTTAGACAGGTTCTAGTAGTGTGTAGAGAGTTTACTTTAGAATTAGAGATAACTGTTATTTACTTGTTGTAGTTTGTATGACTTTACTTTTATATATAAATTTCGAGTTTTGTTGTGTCTTCCCCATGAGTTCTGAGTAGTTTTCTCTATCTTTCTCCTTGTCTTGAGATTTTGTGAAATAGTGATTTGAATTGGTTGAGCCTTGAAAATATTAAAGAAGTTGTGATGATCTTTTCACTTCAATCTTAATTTACTTTGCCAATTGATTTGTTAAAATATGTTGAGTTTTACAATTAAAGTGAAGATTATATCCAAGATTCAGAAAGGTCAAAACCCTTAGAAGTTGGGTGCAAATAAATAAGAAAATAAAATTATCGGACGTAGAATTGGAGATTTTAGAGTGACAGACTAAAATCCCCAATTTGGTCCTATCGTTTGGGTGTTGAAGTGTAGATGTTAGACCTCACGTGAGGGGAACGTGGGAGCTTCGAAGTGAGAGTCAGTACCTCCCAGCCTAGCCGCAGATTCAGTAACCAAGCATAAGATTAGTCAATGTCCTTTATGCTTGGACCAAAGGGTAAAGAATAAGTATGCTCCTATTTGGTACAATCTAATTTGAACTGATTCACTTTATCCATTCACTTTAATTTCTTGAAAAGGAGAATGATGCTTTCTTATATATTGAATTTCACATTAGAAACTTTATTAGTAGATTTAGTTATTTAGGAGTTATTAAAATTACATATTTATTTCAATTACCTATTAGTGACAGATAAGCAATTTGAATTATACTATTGTGATTAAGTATTGATTTTCTAAAATCTTAGTTCGTAGTCTCTAATATTACTCCATGTGGGATCGATATCTAGGACTCCCTTAGAGCCCTATATTACTTGAGCGATGTGTATACTTGCGTTGATAAGTGTGACTTTACCATTATTGAATATTTTATATATACATCTTTATCAAATCTATAACCGTTGTCAAGTTTTTGGTGCAGTTGCTAAGGAATTAAATCTTCTAGCAGCAGTGTTAAATATTTGTATTTTTAAGCATATATAAAGTCGCTGTCAGTAACAATGTTAAATAACATGGTTTAGCTACGTGTACAAGATAATCATGGCATACATAGTCACATTAGGTGATGAGATTATGTCAAACATACATGATAACTAGGGTAAAAATGACTTGTCCACATGAAGTGATACAACGCATGTCAAATGCAAATAATGGAGAGGGTATAACACATAGGTGGCGTTTGAAAGCTTGCCAATCCTATGAAGTATAAAAGCATAATAACTTGAACATGTGGGCACACATGCTTCATGTAAGATAAAAAAGAGATAAATGAAAATACACAAGGTGATGCGCATTCACAAGCATTATATAAATATATTTTGTGTAATCGTTCAAAATTCACACAAACTCATGGAAATGTATACATGCCTACTTCAAGATGAAATCAACCCTAACTCTACTTGATGGTAAAATCCACCTTTCTTAATTAATCATACATGGTTTGGGCGCAAGATGATGAGATGTACCAACATGTTACTATACATGATATCAACATGTCCACCTTCATTTGCTTGACTTGACCATGAGAAGTATTTAAAAAGAAAATTCTCATAACTTATAGAATGAAAATCAAAGGGGCATTCATTCTCTAAGCACAAAATCTCCATGGCATGATAACAATGGAGCTATCAATGCAAATGTAAGATTATTAGCCTCATATCATTAGGTCTAAAAATCTAAAACCTGGTTAACAAAATAGGTGAAGGAAATTGCTTCGGAGAAATTTGGGAAACGTATGAGCCAAAAAAAGACATCCTAACCTATAATTTTTTTTTTTCTAATATTAGCTAATCTTAAAACTCTAATATCAGTTTTGAGGAGGTTTATAAAATTAAGAACAAAGAGAAAAGAAAGTTTCATCACCACGATGTTTAATGTTGCTAGTCTCTTCCTTATCAAACTCCTCTTTAGACAAGGAAGTAGATGACTTCTCCTCCACCAACGTTTCTTTCATTTGAAGATATTAAGAAGAAGAAATCTCTTCAAACAATCACTCTCGCAAGATTTGAGATGGGTGGAAGTAACCTTGCTTTCAATTCAAGAAAAATGGAAGTGAAACAAAAATATAAGGAAGAGGTTTAGTTCAATTTTCTCTTAAGGGTTTTTCTCTTACGAGAGCTCTCTCCACAGTCTAAAAAATACTCCAAGAACAACTAAAAACTATAAAGAATAAATGCCCTAAGTTTAGCCCTCTTCAACATGCTTTCCCTCCATAATTCCTTGAAAAATAATATTTAATCCACCTAGAGTCCATGTTATTGGTCTATTTGAAGTTTAGGGGTCAAATTCCCTTTTCATTGCACCATCCATGAATTTCCCATGCCCAATCACGAGTGCAAGTGGGTTGGGTTGATCCAAAAGTTAACAAAATTAGCTAAACTTGAAAAGAGCCTGGTGTGGTCACACTAGAGCTTATGTAATTAAGTCAGTCCCTCAGTTGAATTGGCATGGTTACGCTCGTATATGACATGATCACGCTAGTTCTGGAGTGCTTATTCAAGTTTATGGCATTTTCATGCCAATTCAAGCTCAATTTTTATGCCAAAAATAGGCCTCGAGAAGTTTTTTATGGATGTCTTGGACATGGGAAGATATACATAAAGGAAATAAAGTTTTATAACCTTTAATTAGTCATCATACATGTAATTCATCCAAAATTGATGCCAATAATCTTGACCACTGATAATAAGAATGACAGAATTTGGAAAAGAAAAATCAATATTAGCATGTATACTACCTCTTGCAAATTTTAAACGAGAATTTTTTGTAGTTAGGGGGTCTACAACAAGAGGAAAAACTATTTTATTGGCTATTTTGGAGATGTCACGCTTCGTCCAACAACACGACTTGAGATTAAAAAGTTTTACACATATCTGAACATCTCTAAAATCCTTATTAGTTGGTCTAAAAACATGTGTTTATTGCTTCAAAATAAACGATTTCCATAAATAAAATAAGGGACGTCCAATAAAATCATGTCAAAGTCCTCTGAGAAATTAAATTTAAACGGGAATAAACCCTCAATAAGAGAAAGAAGATCAACCAATCTTTTCAATTTCAAAACTTTTTAATAACTTGCATGTCAAAGTCCTCTGAGCAATTAAATTTAAACAGGAATAAACCCTCAATAAGAGAAAGAAGATCAACCAATCTTTTCAGTTTTAGAACTTTTTAATAACTTGCAAAGGATTTCCATAAAACAATCATTTAACCTAAGCATGTTCGATAAGAGTTAAACCCCACTTTTTTGAGCCCTCATTAATCTCATCATTAGAGAAAAATACTATCTCAACTGCACTCTACAAATATGAGAGATTAAAAATAGAAGTAGTGAGATGATAAGAAATCAAACTATTCTGATTTAAAGCTCATGAAGCACCAAAAAGAGAACGTGAAAAAGTCGCTACTATAAGAATAAAAGCAGAAACATCCATGACATTTAAAATAGGGCAAAGCACTAAAAAACCTTAATGGAAACCAACAGAGAGGAGAAGCAAGAGTAACCCTAAATTTCCTCAAGGCTAGAAAAGAAAATGGAAAGACTCACCAAATCACAGAGGAAGCCAAAAATCACCTCCAAAAGGCACACACAAGCACACATGAAAAAAGCACTAATTTTTTTAATCAATCTTTATGCTAAATTTATAAGAGTATATTCATTAAATCTAAGGTTTGTGATGATGCAGGGAACGAGTAAGATGAGTTAAAAGAATTTGATGCCGGCCCAAAAATAATGGTTTTTCTTACCCCATAATTAAGAGACCACCGCCAACTTGCTATTTACAAATTAACCATTCTCATTCATCCAATTTTCAAATTCTAACCCAAATATCAAAATTCATGATAAAACCCTCTCATATTTTACATTTTTATCGAATTTTCAATAAACTAATTGTGACACATATATATACATCAGTTCGATAGTTAAAAAAAATCACTTTGAGTGATTAAGTTATAAATATCAATATTTGGTCTGCATGTAATTATCTCTTAACAATTATAAATTAGGAGCATGAATTGGGAGTTTGGACTTCACCTCTTTCTTTTGCTTATTGGCCTTTGACCCTATCAACCTACATCATCGGGACTGTTTTCATACTTCAAAATCAAATATATTTTCATTTTATATAAGAATATAAACAAAAATGAAACAAAATAGCTAAAAACATTGATAATTTTTAATTTTTGTTTAATGAATTCATTACTTCTTTGTTGTGACATCAGTAATATTCAATAATGTTCCTTTTTTAATAGATTGAGCTCAAAGCTAGTTATTTTCCAGAGCAAAATAACTAAATTAACCTTTTTTAATAGATTGAGCTCAAAGCTAGTTATTTCCAGAGCAAAATGGAGATCCAACTGATACAGTCCAAATAATTCAGTTGCTAAATTAATTTTTTATAAAATCATCAAATAAAAACACAACTCAAGACAATCCCAGTCCAATAGCAAACATACATAAAAATACCACCCAAAAACTCCTCTTTTCTTTTATTTTGGCTTGATGAAAACTATAGCTATAATAACTAAAACTGTGCACTGGAGTCAACTTATCCCATATCTACATTAAATATTACAGTTTTCATTTTATTCCTCCTTAAGCTTATGAATCCTGAAAGCCCTTTGCATTAGGAATGTATATCCATTGCAGCTGCAGCTCAATTTCACCGGACTCCACATTTTTGAGCCTCAAAAACATGTCCTGATAAACTTTCCCATTCTCCACGCGGATAACACTCTCTTCAGCCAGACAGTTTTGCCTATTTGGCACCACTTTTGTTATGACGGTGCCATCAACAAAGCCTTCTAAGTTCTTCTTCGCAACTTCGAAAATTGTTCGTATTTCAAACTCTGCATTGCCCATGGGATCATCGAAGCTGAATAGGTCCTTGTCATACACGTACTGGAATAAAAAATCAAAAAGAAGATGAGCTGCCAAGATGAATAAAAAAAGTTTAAATATACAGCCAAACAGTGTTGAACATCTGCCAAATGAGGGAGAGAAGATTAACCAGTATGCTAGGCAGAGTTTGAAAGTGTAAAGATCAGATTTTTTTTCTTTTTTTTTTTTTGAATTCTATGAAAATTAAGTTAGAAACTTAGTTAAAGACTGAAACTTTACAGGCTCTAGAAAGGAATGGATTAACGTTGATCCAGAAGCAGATAGAATAGTCCTGGCTGGTTTTCAAACTATTCAGATTAAAGGCTTAATATTTATGCAGCTTGCATAATGTACAATGATTTATTAAAGATTTATTAGACTTAACCATGGATTTCACAAAATCTGTAACTGCAAAGAGGCTATACCAGATAGCTACTGAGTCCTGTACCCCTAATAATTATTGTAAGGCTTACTTGAACAGGTGAAGAGATCTAGCAAAGTTAGAAAATTCAATGCGTTGATTTCTCTCACAAGAAAAGTTGGGTACAAATCACAAGTACAAAACTGCTAAACGAAAAGATTAAAAAAAAAAAAGAACCAATTTTATAAATTTTGACATAATTGGCATAAGAAATGATTAAATATAGAAAATTATCCAACAAGCGTCTATTAAATCTGATTCGTTTATTATAGGTATTGTCTAGGAAATCTATAGCTCACTAAACAGAGTCAATGCTTAGCAACAGTTAGATGATTGATTCATAGACATGCCATCGGAGAAATCAAGAATATAGAAGATTGACTTTATTTGAAGCAAGTTGAAATTTTCAAAAGCTTAAGTTTCATAAGATCGCAGTTCCCTGCCATCCTTAAATGTTGGAAATGTATAATGACCCCAAGTATGAGATTTATCTATGATTTTAATTAAAAGGAAAAGAGAGAAAGAAAATTAGTTAGGAAATACTGACCAACTTGACAAGAAGATTAGGATCCTCTACAGAGAGTGTTAACTCTTCGTTCCACTCTGGGTTTAGATTCTTCTTGATTACACGAGTCTTCAGCTTCTAAACCACAAAAGAAAAATAGTTTAAAACAAGAGAAGGAACAACTGAAATTCCTACAAAAATTAAGAAAAAAATAAGAGGTTTAAATTTAAAATTATTACTTGGATGTATCAACCCATGATTAACAAATCCTCTTTCCTTAATCAATCTCTTCTTTGCAATAACTTTATCGTATAATCTTTGCGCGTCAAAACTAACAAACTTTCTTCTATTGAAAACTCCATACCTTGAAGTATTTCTAGAATTGGAAGCCATTGAATTTGAAAATAAAAAGTTTCTAGGCGTCCTAGAAAGTTTTTAGGACTTTAAAAACACCTCCCGATGGTTATTATGGATCAAAATCCTGCCAAAGTCCGCCAAAAGTTGTAGAAACCGTCCAACCACTCTCAGCGCAGCCAAAGCTCTTGATGCGTGCTATTGGCACTGAGATCTCCTTCGTTGTGCTCAGTCGGCGTCCATTGTGGCGCCGTTGGTGCCAGTAGAAAAAATTTTGCGATTTTCATTTTTCGTTCAATTAAATTTCAACTTTTCTTCCAATACTAATATTTGACTTAATTTATAAAAAATACAGTTTTGTAAGATTATTATCTACTAATATATAAGACACTTAACAAACTATATAGTAATATATAAACATATAAGTATGGGTTGCCTCCCAAAAAGCGCTTGGTTTAACGTCGCCAACCCGACATACTATTTGTTTAGTTTGGTTCACTTAACATTAAAACTTCTTTAAATTGAGGTATTTTCCCCTCATAATAATGTTTCAAACGATGCCTATTAACTTTATATATCTTTCTAGTGTTGGGATCTTTAATCACAACAATTCCATAATGATAGACTTTATTTACCTTAAATGGCTCTAACCATCTGGATTTCAGTTTTCTTAGAAATAATCTTAATCTTGTATTATATAATAGAACTTCTTGTCCAGGTTCAATTTCTTCTTAATAATATTCTGATCATGCCATATTTTAATTTTCTCTTTATAGATTTTTGCATTATCATATGCTTCATTTCTAATCTCCTCAAGTTCAATTAGAAGCAATAATCTTTTTTCACCAGCAATGCTTTATGCTCTAATTCTATAAGTAAGTGGCATGTTTTTCCAAATATCAGTCTCTATGGAGACATTCCTATAGGAGTCTTATAAGCAGTTCTATATGCCCATAATTTTGTGTCAAGTCTAGCAGACCAATCCAATTTATAAGGATTTACAACCTTTCTAAAATGTGTTTAATTTAGCGATTTGATATCTCGGCTAGACCACTAGTCTGAGGATGATAAGAAGTAGAGAATCTATGCATAATATCATGTTTCTTAATTAATTTTTTGATTCTCTTCTTCTTGAAATGAGATCCTCCATTAGTAATAATTACTCTCGACATTCCATATCTTGTAAAAATATTTTTAATTAAAAATTTAGAAACACTCCAAGCATCACATCTTGGTACAACAATAGCTTCAATCCATTTAGACATATAAACAACAATAAGTAATACATGTAGATTTTCAAATGAAGGTTCCAAATGAAGGCATAAATGGTCCCATAAAATCTAATCCCCACACAACAAAATTTTCAAATTCTAATATGAAATTTAGAGGCATTTCATTTCTTCTAGAAATATTTCCTCTTCTAGAAATATTTCCTACACGTTGACATGTATCGCATGTTTTAATATATTCATTAGCATCATTAAAAATAGTAGGCCAATAAAATCCAACTTGTAAAATTTTATATGCAGTTCAATTTGTTCCAAAATGTCCTCCAAATTCAGAATTATGGCATCTTTCAAATATCTCTTGAGTTTCTTCATAAGGCACATATCTTCTAATAATTAGATCTTTACATTATTTATATAAATATGGGTCATCCCAAAAATAGTCTTCTGAATCATATATAAACTTCTTTAATTATGGATTTTTTATGTCAGGTGATAGAATATCACCTATAATATAATTCACTATATCAGCATACCACGATACATTCATTTTATCAATACTGTATAATAGTTCATCATGAAAATTTTCTAAAATTTCATTTATAAAATTAGTTAATATTTCTATTTCTATTTCTATTCTAGGCAAATGATCAGCTATTTGATTATCATATCCCTTTCTATCAATCACGGTAAAATCAAATTCTTGCAATAGAAGTATTCATCTAATTAATCTTGGTTTAGCATCCTTCTTTTGCATCAAGTATTTAATAGCAGAATGATCTGTATGCCCTATACATTTAGTTCCAATTAAATAAGGTTTAAATTTATCAAAGGCATAAGCAATAACTAATAACTCTTCTTCAGTAGTGGTATAATTAATTTGAGCATCATTTAGAGTCTTACAAGCATAATATATAACATTAAAAATTTTGTCGTGCCTTTATCCTAATACAAACTTAATAACATAATCACTAGCATCTCACATTGTTTCAAATGGTTTTTCCCAAACAGGCGGTACTATTATAAGTGCAGTGACTAGCTTTTTCTTTAATAATTAAAATGTTTTAATGCATTCTTCATTAAAATCAAATTTCATATCATTTTTTAAAAGTTGTCATAGAGGCTTAGTTATTTTTGAAGTGTTATTTTTTAAAAAAAATTTATGTAGCGCTTGTAAAAACTAGCATGTCCTAGAAAACTTCTCACTCCTTTAACATTAGTAGGTGGTGGTAATTTTTCTATAACCTCGATTTTTGCAGGATCTACCTCCATGCCTTTTTAAAAAATTTAGAAATAGCATCTCATCTAGGTGCAGCAATAGCTTCAATTCATTTGGACATATAATCAACAACAAGTAATATATATATAGGTTTCCAAATGTAGGCATAAATGGTCCAAAAAAATCTAATCCCCAAACATCAAAAATTTCAGCATCCAATGTGTAATTTAGAGGCATTTCATTTCTTCAAAAATTTCATTTGCAAAATTATTTTATATTTCTATTTCTATTCTATACAAATGATTAGCTATTTGATTATCATTTCCCTTTCTATCAGTCATGGTAAAATCAAACTCTTACAATAAAAGTATCAATCTAATTAATCTTGGTTTAGCATCCTTCTTTTGCATTAAGCATTCAATAGCAGAATGATTTGTATGCACTATACAATTAGTTCCAATTAAATAAGGTCTAAATTTATCAAAGGCATAAACAATAGTTAATAACTCTTTTTCAGTAGCGGTATAATTAATTTGAGCATCATTTTTAGTCTTGCTAGCATAGTATATAACTTTAAAAACTTTATCGTGCCTTTGTCCTAATACAGCCCCAACAACATAATCACTAGTATCGCACATTATTTCAAATAATTTTTCTCAGTCAGGTGGTACTATTATAAGTGCAGTGACTAACTTTTTTTTAATAATTCAAATGCTTTTATGCATACGTCATTAAAATCAAATTTCATATATTTTCTAAAAGTTGGCATAGAGGCTGAGTTATTTTTGAAAAAAATTTTATGTATCGCATGTAAAAACCAGCATGTCCTAGAAACCTTCTCACCCCTTTAACATTAGTAGGCAGTGGTAATTTTTCTATAACTTGGACTTTTGCAGGATCTACCTCCAAGGACCTACCCCAAGTACAATACCTCCTACAACCATAAGTTGACATTTTTCCCAATTTAATACTAAATTGACTTTTTCACATACTTCCAGAACTTTTTCTAACTTATTAAGGCATAATTAAAATGAATTTTTTTTCTGATTTATTTAAACATAATTCAAATGAAGTTATGAATACAGAAAAATCATCCTTAAATACTTCCATTCCATGTTCAGTTAAATTACTAAAAATTGACATCATATATTTTTAAAATTTTGCGGGTGTGTTACATAGTCCAAAAGGCATTCTAGAAAAAGCAAATGTTCCATATCGGCTTATAAATGTTGTTTTCTCTTTATCTTCTAGAGCAATTGGAATTTTGTGATAACCGGTATATCCATCTAAAAGCAATAATACTCATCCTCATCCCCAGCCAATCTATCCAATATTTGGTCTAGAAAGGGTAAAAGAAAGTGATCTTTTCTAGTGGCCATATTTAATTTTCTATAATCAATGTAAATTCACTAACCAGTTACTTGACTTATTGGTATTAATTCATTTTTCTCATTTTCTTCAACAATCACTCCTCCTATTTTTGATAAACAGTAAATTGGGCTTTCCCGAGCACTATGTGAAATAGGATATATAATTCTAGCATCTAACCATTTTAAAATCTCTTTTTTAACAACTTCTTTCATTATTGGGTTTAATCTTCTCTGAGGATCAGCTTTAGGTTCATGTTGTTCATCTAATAAAATTTAGTGCATACAAATTGATAGACTAATTCCTTTATTATCTCGTAATGTCTATCAAAAAGCCTTTTTATACTTTTTAAACATTTCTATCAACTTTTGTTCTTGAATCTTAGTTAACTCAGAAGATATAATAACCGACAATGTAGATAATTTTCCTAAAAATACATACTTTAAATGGGTAGGTAATATCTCTATTTCAAGTTCAGGTGATTTAATACTTGAACGAGTAAGATTTTCACTATCGTTTTCCATCAAGTCTAACGTTTCAAATTTTCCATAAATATATTCCAAATCTTCTTCTTGAATTTCATCCTCATTTTCAAAAATTTCTCCTTGCTTAAATTTATCTTCGAATTATATCTTAAATTGTTCATTACTTAGATAATCAGCTACTTCCATTCTGAAACATTCATTATATTTTTCTATTGCAAGATATTTCATAGCTTTGGCTTTATTAAATTTCACTTCTTGATCATTAACTCACTTTATTAATTCTCTTTTTTGTACATCTATTACAGCTCTTCCTAGTGCAAGAAATGGTCTCCCTCAAATAATAGGAATTTCTTTATCTTCCTCCATATCCAATACTATAAAGTCTACAAGGAAAAAAAATTTATCCAATTTTACTACTACATCCTTTATAACTCCTTTTGGATAAGTTATTGATTGGTCAGCTAACTGAAGAGTTATAATAGTAAG